GAGTCTTAGGATTTTAAAAAGGAAGTTTTATGCACCACGAAGTCCAGACGCCAGCTGAGGCCAAGTTCCTGTGTGACGTCTGGGCGGACAGCGGCGGCGTGCATGGAAGAGGGAGCTCGATGCCGAGGACGGCTTTTCCTGCCTCCTGCAGTGATGTTCACGACTCTCACCACCCTGGCTGTTTCCACCAAACTCTCTGGTTTCTTTTTCTTTTGTGTTTTGGATGTCAGCACCCTTTTTGAATTTATGATCCCAGAATGAACATCATATTCCAGATACGATCCCAGAATGACCAGCATAGAGGACAGTGGAAATGTTTCTAAGATCTTGAGATGACTTCAAATGATGTAGCACAAGATTGTCCCATACTTAAGTTTCCTTTCCATTCTTCCTTTAAAATTGTTCCACACTTTAAAAAAAAGTGTTTATATGACAAAATGACACCCTCAACCCCAAATGGGTATTCTTTCCTTGAGGTATGTTTTATTTCTAGGCCAGTTTACCACTTACTAGTAACACTGATTTCTGAACTGTCGCTCAGACTTCCACAGACCCCTCTGAGATGGAGTAAGGACCAGGAATTAAGCTGAACGATTTGAAGGGCACTCACAGACAAGGAATTAATTTGGGGTACATCTTCCTTTAGGTAATGAATTTATTTTTAGGAATTTCTTGATGTAAGTCAAATTTTGGAAATCAAATTCTTGAAATGCATCCAGTGTCCATACAGAGCTGATTCGCTGCAGGAAAGCACCATGTGTGCAGTAGGTGGTGACCCTCTGTGGATTTTCGTGCACGTTCTGGGCTTTGCCCACAGCTGCAGCATGGACAGAGGTGCTATGGGCCCCACGGGAAGGGGAGTTGACAGGGCCTCACGGTGCCATGCTGGGGGAGAGGCTGGTGTGCGTGGAGTGACCTTGATGCCCCATGCTCACTGAGGGGACTTCCCCTGAACCCCTCTTCCAGGCTCCTCCTTTCTGGACCCATGGGCCCCTGTACAGCATTTCTGGTTGAGGACCTTGGGGCCCTCCTGGCTCCTCTGCTCCCAGCCTCCCAGTGACCTCCAAACAGACTCTTGACCCATCACCATGTCATGTGGGTGCCAATTAGCTGTTTGGAAAAGGTATTTTTTCTTCTTAGCCATTGTACTGGGTAGAATCATGTACCCCCAAATCCATGTCCACCTGCAACCCGTGAATGTGGTCTTATTTGGAAATAGGGTCTTTGCAGATGTGGTCGAGTTAAGGTCACACAGGCTAGGACGAGCTCTCAGTCCAATGACATCCTTAGAAGCGGAGGGAAATGTGGACCCCAACATAGCTCCACAGTGGGGAAAGGCTGTGTGACAGGGAGGCGGAGATGAGGGGGACACTTCTAACCCCCCAAGGAGTGCACGGGCTTGGGGCAGACACAGCCGTCTTTCCCATCACAGCCTTTCTCACGCTTGTGCCTTCTTCCTGGAATTCGCTGATTACCGACAGAGAAGAAACACCTGTGGACCCACCCCAAGGAGGAGCTTCAGATGAGCATCAACAGCCAGAGATAAAAGGAAGGTGCTTTGGGATGATCCATAACCTTTGGTCTGTGTCCCGATCCTTGGTCAGCATCTGGGAATGGTCCAGACGGGGGATGCAGGAGGAGACGATGCTGACTCCAACTCAGCCTGTTGGCTTTGTCACCATCAACTTCACGTTTCAAATCCAGCTTTGTCCTTAAAAGTACACGTTACTGTAGGTTTGGAAAAGTTCTGCCTTCCATGGGTGGTTTTAAAGACAGGTGTTGCTTCCTCTGCCTGCATTCTGCTAAGCCAGACAGGGCAAAGAGAACCCTAAATTTGAATTTTTAAGAATGTCAATCTTGGGGCTCACTGGTAATTACTCAATGGAGAGCAACGCCTGAGAGATGCTGACATTCTAACATACACGGTTTAGAGGCCCTCAAGCAAACGTGACTGTGCTAGGAAGCAACTCTCCTCCATCCTGCTCTGTGTGGATTTAGGGCATCGACGGCGGGCAGCTCCTGTGTTCTGCACAGAGGGATCCCCAGGATGAGGGGGGATGTGGAAGCAATGACGTCGTGGTCAGGGAAGTCTGCAGGAAGCAAAATGAAGCAAGTTTCTTTAGTTCAGGATTTCTCGGAGGCTCTGCTGGGCTGGCGCGCTTGAGAACATCCTGGGAGGGCTGAGACTACTGGCTATGAGCTCTTGTCTTAGAAAAGCTGTGACCAGGTTGAGGGACGCTGGGGTTTCCTGGAACCACCTGATACCTGATGACCGAGATGTGTCTCAAAATTATCTTGCATTTCACCTTGCTTTAAAATTTGTGTCTACTTATTTCATTTAGAGATGCATTATTTCAATTTCAAGAAGGTATGCTCTTTGATAATCACTCTGAAACAGTTCATAAGATGTAAACACTGATCAAATGAATTGCCTCCAACAATCGCAACTATCCATAACAAACGGTAAGAAATATGGTTCACGCCTTATATTCACTAGCCATGTGAATCTGGACACGCTACGAGCCTCTGAGTCTCACGGACCACAAAGACTACAGGTCAGCACGTGAGAGCTTCACACAGGACCCGGCATCTGCTGAACGGAGGGTGGAATGTGGGCATCATCATGGTCGTTGAGTGTGGACGCCGAGAGCCTTCACACAGGACGGAGGGTGGATGTGGCTGCTGCTGACTGGAGGGTGGATGTGGGCATCATCGTGGTCAAGTGTGGATGCCAAGAGCCTTCGCACAGGATGGAGGGTGGATGTGGGCCTCATCGTGGTTGTTGAGTGTGGATGCCGAGAGCCTTCACACAGGACAGAGGGTGGATGTGGCACCTGCTGAACAGAGGGTGAATGTGGGCATCATCGTGGTCATTGAGTGTGGACGCCGAGAGCTTTCACACAGGATAGAGGGTGGATGTGGGCATAATCGCGGTCATTGAGTGTGGACACCGAGAGCCTTCACATAGGACGGAGGGTGGATGTGGGCATCATCATGGTTGTTAAGCATGGACACCCTCCAGACCCTGTGGCTTTGCTGGACAGAGAAGTCTTGCACAGGTGAGGAGATGAAGTTGATGTTGGGCTGTGGGGGCCCAAGGGCTCATAAAAATGAAAGAACACATATTCGGGGGCACCCCACGCCACACATAAATAAGCACGTTTTGGGTAATGGGTTGAGGTGGATGAAAATTCGGGTGGTATTAGGACTCTGTGGGCATTCCCTGCCTGCCCTCCAATTCCAAACACTCTGTCCTTTTCCCTGAGAAGCCGGGGTGAGCACGTGCAGCAGGGGCATCCCTGGACGGGCCCTGGGGCTCCATTCTAAGGGCAGAGCTGGGACAGATGGGTCCATTCTAAGGGCAGAGCTGGGACAGAAGGGTCCATTCTAAGGGCAGAGCTGGGACAGATGGGTCCATTCTAAGGGCAGAGCTGGGACAGATGGGTCCATGTTTCAGGAAGGCAGGTGTGTGCCATCCAAAGAAGACCTTCGTACCACGAAACTCCCGAGATGATGGGCCCCAGGGTGCCATCTTCCCTGGGACAGGCATGTTCTCACCGGGTTGGGCGACTCCCCAGCAGTGACAAGGAGGGAACTCAAGTGCCCCAGGGTGCTGGGACCAAGAGCCCCCAAAACCATCCAAGTGTCACAGGTTCGCCGTGCCACGCCAGGATTACAAGCTTCAACAATGTCACACAGAGATACAGTTTAGTTTTGTTTGTTTATTTATTTATTTTCAATAGCATGAAGACACAGGCAGACACAAAGAGCAGGAGGTCATACCGACGTGTTTTAGATCCTGGTGTCATCCGAGCTTTCCTGGGTAAGTGATGCCATCTCTCCAATACCCACGTGCCTTGCCCATAAAATGGGACGATGGCACCTGAGGATTCAAATGCTCACCATGCAAGGGTGCTCGGAAGCCCTCAGAAACCCTGGTCTGTTCCTGACTTTTCTGGAAAGCCCTCAGAGACTGTTCTCAAGGGCGGAGAGAGGAGGCCGTCCTTCCTGTAATTGGAGTCATGCGAGGCTGACGGGAAAGCCGGGAGAGGGAAGTACAGGGAATAGGAAGAGCCTGGAGCAGAAGTGAATTTACCGACTCCGGTGCACGGCGACATCAGGAAACGTCTCACCCCAGTGCTGCACGGGCGCCCGTGGATCGCCAGGAGGCCCAGGCTGTCGATCGCCAGGAGGCTGCAGCCTGGTCCCAGCATCACTGCTGCAACAGGCACCTCCCTGCCTGGATTCTGCCACGTGGGATTCTGCGTTGCTTCCCACCTTTGTCCCCAGCTCGAATCTCCTTGGAGCTCCTCTCTGCCAGGCTCGGGGATGGCTGGTGTGCCTGACATGTGGCCAGCGCCTGTGCTCCTGTGGTAACTCACAGCCACGTTCCAGGTTCCAGAACCCATTCCTATTCAGCTTTGTCATGTGGCTGGTGAGGGAGGACCCGGAGGCAGCTGGAGAAGGGAGACCCCCCTGCCCTCTGCTTGTTGCTCTATTTGCTGATGTTTGACGTTCACATCAGCCCTCGTGTCTGTGCCTCCGTCTGTGTGACCTGGGCTTGCGCCGAGTCGAGGAGCACCGCCTGGCCTTTAGATGCCCTACGGGACTCCAGGAGAGGAGGATAAACTGCACGGGGGCCCTGCTGTGACCGTCATCATAACAACACCATGGAGAACAGGCACATTTTTCAATAACATGGAACGATGTAAACACTTACTAACTTTATCCTCGCTGTTTTATAAAATGCAAATGTAAAGTGGCTTAAAAGTAATGATCTTGAAAACATTACATCTCTCAAAGGGAATTTTTTTCATACTCAAGTTTTGGAAAACAAAAGATTGATAATAAAAAATACGAACAGACTGAAATTCTGATATAAGTAACATTTGATGAGTGTCTGCAAGAAGTTTGATTGGCTTAATCAGATTCAAGACACGATTTGTGACCCAGCTATTGAGATCTTCCTTTCAGAGAGATTTTAATTTTAAAAAGTTCACCTGCCAAAAGTCGGCCACGGTGGCGGGCAGCGGTCCCTGGGTGGCGATGTACGCGGGGTTCCTCGGGTCGTGATCCATCTGCGGAGACAAGACCACATGACAGCGGTTAGCCAGGAGGTTAGGAAGCCCAGCGGTTAGGAAACCCAGAGGTTAGGCAGCCCAGAAGCAGAGCCCGGGTTCAGGAGGAGGGAAGGGTGGCGTCTCCTGAGCTGAGCAACACACAACTTGCCCTTTGCTGATTCAAACGAGCACATGGCACAGATGGGGACCCAGCCGTCCCGAGCTGAGCCACCGTGTCTGAAGGCCCAGCCGTCTCGAGCTGAGCCACCACGTCTGAAATGCTTTCCTTATACCTGAGGTTGAGGTTCTAAGAGCGGCATCAACAGAAATGAAGACCAGTAGCCCAAAGAGTGCAGACAGCTGTCATTAGCCCACTCAGCAGGTACAGCCCCATGACATGGATGAGCTTTCCAGCCTGCAAGTGACCGCAGAGCTTCCTGGCCACGGAGCCCACCCAGGCTGCCCCGTGTTCAGGAGAACGAGCCTCTTGCTAGAGACACAGGACTGGCTGGGCCGAGGCTGAGCTCCAGGCTCTCAATGGAGAGTGTGAACATGGTTCCTCCAGGCCCCAAGGACAAACTTGCCAGCGTCCTGGGAGAACGAACCAGCGCTACCTCCTGCTTCCCTGCTGGAGTTAACTTGTCGTGTGTGGGGGCTTGTTTTTGTGTATCCTGGAAAGGGGGCATGGGCAGAGCCGGTCGGCCTGGGCTTGGGCCTGGGTCTGCAGCAGAGCCGGGGTGGAAGGGGGCACGGGCAGAGCTGGAGTGGAAGGGGGCATGGGCAGAGCCGGTCCGCCTGGGCCTGGGTCTGGGTCTGCGGCAGAGCTGGGGCGGAAGCGGGCACGGGCAGAGCTGGTGGGCCTGGGATTGGGTCTGGGTCTGCAGCAGAGCCGGAGTGGAAGGGGCCATGGGCAGAGCTGGTCGGCCTGGGCTTGGGCCTGTGTCTGTGGCAGAGCTGGGGCAGAAGGGGGCATAGGCAGAGCCAGAGTGGAAGGGGGCATGGGCAGAGCCGGTGGGCCTGGGCCTGGGTCTGTGGCAGAGCCAGGGCAGAAGGGAAGGTGGCACGGGCAAAGCTGGTCAGCCTAGGCCTGGGTCTGTGGCAGAGCCTGGGCAGAAGGGGGCACGGGCAGAGCCGGGGTGGAAGGGGGCACGGGCAGAGCCGGTTGGCCTCGGCCTGGGTCTGCGGCAGAGCCTGGGTGGAAGGGGGCATGGGCAGAGCCGGTCGGCCTGGGCCTGGGTCTGCGGCAGAGCCAGGGTGGAAGGGGGCACGGGCATAGCCGGTCGGCCTGGGCCTGGGTCTGCGGCAGAGCCAGGGTGGAAGGGGGCACGGGCAGAGCCGGTCGGCCTGGGCCTGGGTCTGCGGCAGAGCCAGGGTGGAAGGGGGCACGGGCAGAGCCGGTTGGCCTGGGCCTGGGTCTGCGGCAGAGCCAGGGTGGAAGGGGGCACGGGCAGAGCTGTTGGTCTGGGCCTGGGTCTGCGGCAGAGCCAGGGTGGAATGGGGCACGGGCAGAGCCGTTGGCCTGGGCCTGGGTCTGTGGCAGAGCCATGGTGGAAGGGGGCACGGGCAGAGCCGCGGCAGAAGGGCCTTGCTGGGAGTGGCTTTCTGTTCTGTTTCCCCACCAGGCAGGGACCAGAAACAAAGAGCGCAGGTGTGGGCTCTCTGGCTCCCCAATTTGTCCGAATGCATCCTGCTAGCTCCAATGGGAGAAGGTTGGCTTGGAAGACCATAATTATTACATTTATTTCGAAGATTAAGCACAGAAAAAAAGAAAAAAGAACGTGAGGACAAAGCCTCGAGAGGCAAGCAGGATTTGAGCACATTGCTGAGGGGAGTCAGATGGAGGCGGCTCTGTCTTCCAGAGGGCAAGTCCAGGCCACCCTGCAAAGGACATGAAGACACCAGGTCATCCCTATCATCCCCAGGACTCACCAGCTCCTCCCCACACCTCCCAGAAGCATCTGCAGAGACTGACTCCCGGAGAGCTGGATGCTGCGCTGGGGGAACCTCACCTTGGGGAGGCAGCTGCTTGTGCAGCCGAAGCACAGTCCTTCCTTCTATTGTGTCTAGGACTAAAATGTACTCTTTTGCTATCAGGGTTTGATTCGAGATTTACGATGCTCCAGATTTCAAGGTAATTATTAAGAATACATTTCTCATTGTTCAATTCCCACCTATGAGTGACTAGAACTTAAAGTATAATAAACAATAAAAAAATAAAAAAAAATTATTTTTTACATCACAAAAAAACCCCCCAAAACCAAAAAGAATAAATTTCTTAACACAGTGAAAAACGAGCAAGTTTTAACCCTATGTAATTTTAAGCCAATGCATGAGGACATCAGTGGTGGCCCCCGTGTCACCTTGAGTGCTGCTGCTTTTGGGAAGCTGACGTGGGGCACGTTTTCTTTAACAGTCAGCCAGTGAGTCCCTGTGCAGCCGTCACCAGCCCCAGAGATGACGGCTGTCAGCACAAAAGAAGGCACCAAATGCACCTTATAATTATGTTCACCATAAAAGAGGGGCGAGCATAAAGGAACAGATGTAAGTTATTCTCACAGAACAACACGGTGACGCTAGCCGGGGGCTGGGGGAAGGCAGGGAGAAAAGCTTTTTGTGCATCTGATTTAGTGATTCATAATTAAAACCGGACCTCGTTTTGAAATTCGCCACAACACACACAATACAGGTAAAATTATGTTACTGCCACTGAAAGCCCCAATTAGAATGTTTCAGTAGAAAAATGCTTAGCAGAAATAAGGAGTTTTGATTTTTTGAAATATGCATTTGTTGGGGGTGACAGCTATTTACAGAGACCCTGTCTCTTCTCTGCAAATAGTAATGCATAAAAAGGAAAACCCCACCTCCTTCTTAAATGTGTGTGTGTGTGTGTGTGTTTTTTTTGCCCAGAGCAATTTCTACAACAACACATTTTAAAATTGTAAGCATGTTCAAACTGGCACATTTAGTTGCTTTCAAAATGAGAAAAAGGTGATTGAAAGTAAAGTTCTGGACAGGGTTGCAGGAGGGTCGATAAGGTGACTATTGAGTTAGGTCTGAATTGTTAAGGTGTCCTAAAGTCCACACACCCATCACCTGTTCCAATGCCCAAGACAGGAGCAAATGCAGTCAGGGTGCTGCAGGGGGATGCCTGAACACGAAGTATGGGCTGCGCAGACTGAGTGGGGACCGGCCTCACCTCCCTCCTGCCCACCTGCCGTCCTGTGGGGGCCACTGGGAAGGTGGGAACAGCATGATGATCCGAGTGGTGACATGTGTTATCAGTTTCACAATAATTCAGGAGACAATTACAATCATTTAATTCCTGGCACATTCTGTTGAACAGAAAATGATTCTGGGCGGAAGGATTTTGTGCAAGCAGCGACTGTGAAGGCCACAGGCGGCCTCCTTGTGGTTTCTCACAGCCTTCGAGGAAAAGTCAAGCAAATACTTAACTGGCCACACAGATATTTTATTACATTTAATGTTTTCAGGCAGGATAAGTGGCTGTGGAGGAAATCAAGTGAGTTTCTACTAACACTGCTTTTTCCAGTGAGGGCATTTACCTGACGACCCGACGTGGCAGGTGTGTGTCCCTCTATCTTCCTCGCCCAGTGATTACACAGCACCCACTCCGGCTTCCTCTGATCTTCGTTCTTAATCTCCGCCTCCTACTCGTTGCTCTGTTTCATTGCAATATACTTTTTATTTGTATGACTGTTATGTTCCCGACACAAACTGCCTGACTGTGGGAAAAGGCCTGTCAGTGTCTCTGGGTCTCAGTCCCGATATCTGTACGGCAGGTGTGCTCAGGGAGTGAGGAGCTTGGATGTCCGTGTCTCCAGGCCTCAGTCTCCATATCTGTAAGGTGGGTGTGCTCAGGGAGTGAGGAGCTTGGACGTCACAGTCTCCAGGCCTCAGTCTCCATATCTGTAAGGTGGGTGTGCTCAGGGAGTGAGGAGCTTGGATGTCCGTGTCTCCAGGCCTCAGTCTCCACATCTGTAAGGCGGGTGTGCTCAGGGAGTGAGGAGCTTGGACGTCACAGTCTCCAGGCCTCAGTCTCCATATCTGTAAGGTGGGTGTGTTCAGGGAGTGAGGAGCTTGGATGTCCGTGTCTCCAGGCCTCAGTCCCGATATCTGTACAGCGAGTGTGCTCAGGGAGTGAGGAGCTTGGATGATGCAGTTTCTAAGTGTCCTTTAGCTCTGGATTCCAGCACACATGTATGTGCAGACTCATCTGCGTCTATGCATGTGTCCTGGTGTAGGTGGTCATCCTGAAACTTTCAGTGAACACCAAGTTGTCGGGTGGTCTGCGGCCCGCGAACATGTGTCCATGCTCTCCTCAGTGAACCACAGAAGAAGGAAGGACACCGCTTCCTCAAGCACAGAGCTGCCGTGCCCTCCAGTGGTGTGCAGGGCCGAGCGTCTGAACGGTGAGGTGCTGTCATTTCTGAGCGCTTTCTCCCCAGATGAGGCTTCCACGGCAACACATCCCACCCGGAGAGGCCAGTACCATAGAGAATCCAGTGTGACTCATTCCAAGTGACTTCATGAAAATCAATGGCCAGAAACCAAGTACAATTAAGAGTATAATTCTGTTTTTACTTTTTGTTTTTGAGATGGAGCCTCACCCTGTCATCCAGGCTGGAGTGCAGTGGTGCTATCTTGGCTCACTGTAACCTCTGCCTCCTGGGTTCAAGCGATTCTCCTGCCTCAGCCTCCACAGTGGCTGGGGTTACAGGCATGTGCCACCACATCCAACTAATTTTTGTATTTTTAGTAGAGATGGGGTTTCACCATGTTGGCCAGGCTGGTCTCGAACTCCTGACCTCAGGCAATCCACCTGCTTTGGCCTCCCAAAGTGCTGGGATTATAGGCATGAGCCACTGCGCCCAGCCTACTTTTTAAAAATAAAAATAAAACCCATTTGTCTGTGTTGACTCTATTATCCCTTAGTCAACTGATTCTTAGGAAGACGTCATATGAACTAGGAGACTAATGAGGTGTGTTCCTCTGTCTCTCTGAATACAGTGTAAAGACGGCCTAGTGATGCGCCTTATGCTATCGGAGGATAATTACTAAACAAGGATCTTTAGAAACTCTAATCTGCATGAAAAACTTAGCCACATTTTCCCCAATATTCCAAACAAAGTTCATTTTAGAAATGAAGCACTTAGCATGTCAGGACCACTGGACTGTGTTCTGTAGTCCTCAACAGCCTCGATGGTGGCAGAGGAACCCACTGCGGGGCAGGTGAAGGGAATGCCAGTTTCTGCTCCCAAACCAACCCCGGCCTCGGGCAGCCATGACCTAAACATCTTAAAAGGATCTGGCTGACTTTGGGGAAGGACACGGCAGGGGGTGTCACGTCTTTAGGCTGAAATCTTGTGCAAAGGATAAGTACATGCCTCATCTGCAGGTATTTCTACCTGCCCATCTCTCCACCTGCCTTTCCTAACATTTAAAGCAAATTTCATGAAATGCTTTCTTGAAAACAACCATCTGACTTGTCAAGTCTATTTTCCAAATACTAAGTCTTAAGATGGGAATTTATTGGGAAATTGTAGCTTCGGTAATCAATGGGAGATTGACTTGTTTTTTTGATACAGGGTCTCTTGTTCTTTAGCCCAGGCTGGAGTGCGGTGGCACGATCTCAGCTCACTGCAACCTCTCCCTCCTGGTTTCAAATGATTCTCCTGCCTCAGCCTCCAGAGTAGCTGGGATTACAGGTGTGAGCCACCACGCCTGGTTAGGTTTTGTGTTTTTAGTAGAGATGGGGTTTCAACACATTGGCCAGGCTGGTCTTAAACTCCTGAACTCAAGTGATTCGCCCGCCTCAGCCTCCCAAAGTGCTGGGATTACAGGCATGAGCCACTGCACCCGGTCAGGAGATGGACTTTTGAACTTGAAATATTTTTATATTGTATTCTTAGGAGTTGAGGTTTACTTAAGTAAAATACTGAATATAAACCATTATTATACATAGAAGTTTGATTGTAAATAACTGAAGTGGTTCCCATATTTGGCCAATTTCTTATGCTAGTCAGAACATCCAACCTCTCTTCCTTTTCTGAAAAGCCACTCTGTCCTTACATAGGTAAATGCATTCTGAATTAAAACTTTAAATGATTTTTTTTTCTCCCTTAATAGACAGTGAAATGAAGAATTAAGCTGATTTTTAAGTGTCATTGGGAGTTTCAGGGTTGTCCTGGCAATAAAGCTTGTGTGCTGTCTTTGAGTGGGCTGTTACATGAACACCATTTCTCAACTTGGTGTCCTCAGTAATAACCAGGCTGTTTTAAATGTAGCTCATGGGTTTCTCTCTCAGACAACCTATGAGGGAAAACAGAATTCCCATTGACTTTCATGACCTCTGATTTAAAAGCAAAGATTGCACATTATTTACTACTGGATGCCTTCCCTGAAATGTAATGAGGACTAAGTACAAATATGACAGATGTAATTATCATAGTTTTATCCTGCACAGCCAGGGCCTTCCTTTGCTATAATTGTAAGCTTTTCATTCAGCTGCCACTAGGAAGATAATTATCATTGTACCTTCAGCTATTTCATAAAGACGAGTCACCATCGATTTCTTCTGCTTCATTCTTACAACCCAAATTTGGAAAAAAAAAATTGTGGTATGAAATAAAGGCAAGACATAAAAGGTACCATAGAATTACTTCTCCCTCCTGGCCTCACCTTCTCACCCAAGCTCCTGCCCAGTAAGGCCTGGAGAGGGAGCGGCATGAATGTGCAGGAATTCATCCCCCAAACACACACCTCCTCTAGTTCCCACACGAGCGTGAAAGTTGTCCACCGTTTCCAGCTTGACACAGTTGCTGCCCTGGGCACTGCTGCCCACGTTGGCTTGGCTGTGGCCTGGAATAGCGCAGACATCTGCAAGTTGGAACCCATCAAGTGGGGGAGAGTTGGGCCCAGCTGCAACACTGAACTCTCGTCTTTTAGGCTTGTGAATCATGGTTTTATTCCTCATTTTGGCCTCATCAAACGGTTCATCTCAGGGAAAAGGGACCTCAACATGGCTTTTCTTTTCCTTCGGACAGTTTCGTGTTGCCAACTCTGCTGCACATGGTACAGGAACGGAATCCAGGCATGCACACCTGGCTCTACCAGAACGCATGTTCTGTTCATCAAGTGAGAGGCTGGCACATCGGTGAGGCTTTGGTTTGATGTTTTTGAATTAGAATTGATGACAGAAAAATATTACGTGCATCACATCTTATTAAGGAAGATGAATGAGGATCTTTGAAACCCAGACGGAACCAAGGTTGGGAGTCAACCTCTGCTGGAAGGAAGTGATTCCTTCTTAAGAATGAACACATAAATAGAAACCTGGGTTCAGGTGGTGTAGACCAAGTACACTAGACCAGTTCTTCACTTTGAATTCACTCTCTCAAAGCCGAACATGCTCGCTGTGTGGGCCGTGAAGTGCCGGAAAACGGGACTGGCTCAGGCATGTGGGCATCTTCCCAGTGTGCTTTATCCCATGGGTGTGCTGAGACCAGCAGAGCCGAGAGCTGAGCACAATCCACCATCCACCATCAGTGGCCACTGAGACCAGCACAGCCAAGAGCTGAGCACTGTCTGTCATCAGTGGCCGCGGCCTGCAGGCAGTGGGGCCAATAATTTCATCCAAAGCTCCCTATGGATGAGCAAAGAAACTTCAAGACACCGTAGGGTATGATTTGTGCCTCAATCACCTGCTCTGTCTCACTCAGCCCTAGAACAGTGTCGCATCCTGCAGGCACCGTGTTTGATTAAAGGCGAATGTGGAATTTTAGTGAGATGTCCTCATGCTTCCCTGAAGACCAGAATTGAGAAGAGTTGTTTAAAGGGGCAAACATGACAACCAGTGTCTGCCACAAATCCGCGTGGAGCCCCAGCCTCTCCACTGCTGGTTTAAAATGCCATCCACCAGGTCTCCAAAGCCCTGGCCCTGGACAGTGTCCCATCCCACCCCTGCCACCTGCCACCATCTGAACAGCCAGTCCAAGTGTCCCTAGCCTGTGGCTTCAGCCTTCTCCACGCTCATTTCTCTCCCTCCTCTGCTCACCGTGGAAGGGCTGCAAGCCCCCCCATTCAGCCCTGCTCCCCCCAGAGGTCATAACAGGGAAGGGGGATGCCCAGAGTTAAATAGGGTGAGAGCTGCATCCAGCATGGGCTGAGGGGAGCCCCTGGGAAGTGAAGGACCACAGGCCACAGGGACTCACACCTCATGGTGCAGGAGCTGCCGCTACACTTGTCCACGGAAACACAGGACAGCCTGATCTCCACTGCACCTGTGTCTATCCCAGGGGGAGGACCAGCCAAAAAACGGTCTCTTTCTTAAGAAACAGGGTCCCATTCGCTGGAAAAACTTCAGGAAAACGAATCTGGAATTCTGGACCTGCCTCCGTGCTACTGATCATTACAAAAAGCAGAGACTGAGGACTCGTGTGCCCATGCCCAGTGAATAAACAGGAAATGAGTAGCTCCAGGAAGAGGAATGACACCCACTACGAATCTCTCCTAAAAGCCATGTCTTCTAGTCAGGCAACTGTCCAGTCGCCACTGCTGGATGTTCTACAAGTCATGGAACCCACCGCCCAGCGTGAGCCGGGACCCACACAGCTCATAAATAGCCCCACTGGTGAAGGAACAGAGGAGTGGCGGGAGTCCAGTGGGCAGAGTGGGTCCCGTGTACCACAGAGACGCTGAGCCAGGCGGGGATGCGATTTCCCCCAAGAACCTTCCCGCGTGATTTGCCGTGTCCATGACGCCCAATGGAAAGCCCAGGGCCACTGCCCTGGCGACACACTTACGATGGGGCTGGCGTTGATGTAGTCCGAGTGGCTGTGGCTGTTCTCCGCCTTCAGTAGGACCCGGGAGTGGTCATCTGCAAGGACACAGTGCAGGGGTCAGAGGAACGTTGGCCCACCCAGCAGCATGGGACCCCCACCTGGCCTCCAGGGCCCACCATCCAGCAGCGTGGGACTCCCAACCAGCCTCCAGGACCTATAGCCCAGCAGTGTGGGACCCCTGCCCAGGCTTCAGGGCCCACCCGTGTCCTCTCCCAGGACTCTGCTCACACCCTCCTGAATGTGGTTTCTAATGTTCCTGTTCCCATCCTCCCCTCTCTTTGTGATCCTCCACATGGGAGGCAGACGAACGGCATGTGGGGAAGTGGTACAAAGCTCCCATTCAGCAGAATGGAGATATCCTGGTGTTTTCCCCCACGTGGAGTTCATACACCAAGGTCAGGGGTTCCTCTGCAGAATTTTACACCATGTTGGCCTTTAAATCACAGACACACTTGGCAACACACAGCAGGTAAATGGAAATAGGAACGTTAAGCAATCGGCCACCTTCCAAAATAAAAAGTTTCATAGTCGATGAAGAGTTAAGTCCTCAAGATTACCGGAATTTAGTTTTAAAAGGAGAGTAAGAGATAAATAAAATGCAGATAAAGAGGAAATAGAGGAGAAATGTACCAGTGGAGACTGGCATAAAAACTCGCTTGGACAGGCCGAGTAACCTGATGGCTGCTGAAGCCGGGCACAGCACGGGGGACGCTCGGCACTTGTGATGTTGTGATACACCAGCTGTCTTGGCTTTGGTTCTAGGGTAACCCCCATTCTGCTTACTGCGACTGCCCTCCTCTTTGCCCTGTTTTTAGAAACTTCGATCAGCAGAGCTCACAGAGGAGGAGAAGCTGAAAGAGCCCCTCCTGCATCTCCCACCTCCCCGGTGTGCAGCCACTTCCTTTTCTCTGCAAGGTGCTCTTTGTATTATGGGATCTTAGGGGCGTTGTTTTTCTGCCAGAAATCTCTGTGGCCAGTGGCACCTTTGCCCAAGTTTTGCTCAGGCTGGGCCTGGCAGGCTGCGTTTGGCTCACACTACCAGCCTGGGTCCTATGCCTGCCAAGGGCCAGTCAGGCATGCAGCGGTGAAGGGTGTGTGAGGAGCGTGGGGTCCGGTTACACCAGTCAGGCACACTGGGTGCTGCAGCAGGGTGGGCAGCTCCATGTGCCAGCATGGGCGCTGGCTCTCTGTGAGGCTGCGGCCAGATGAGGCAGGCTGCAAGCAGCTTCCATGGTTGACACTAAGGAACATGGTAGCTCCTGGAAGTCTGGACATGGCAGGAACCACAGGGTCCCAAAGATGGAGTCACAGGCCTGGCTTGGGGAGCTCCCAGTTCTGGGCTCCCTTCTCAGAAGGAAAGAGCTATTCTCTCCTTCTCTTTACCCACAATGTGGCGAGCAAGGGGCATGCCTCAGCCCTGTTTGTGCCGCAGCTCTTCTAGCCCCACCATTAGACAGGTCCCGAGTTCTTGTTCTGCAACCAGGAAGAATGAGGTACGGAGACAAGTGAAGGGTGAGCGAGATGAAGAGGAGCTTCACTGAGCAATTCAACAGCTCAGTCTCCCACAGGGGGCAGCTCCTTTCTGCAGCCAGGGGGTCCTGATGAGTGTTCAGCTCCTAGCAAAGAGGAGGCTCTGGAGTGGGTAGCTCCTCTCTGCAGGCTGCTTGTCCCATTGTCTCTACAGACCTCAGCCGAGAGGAGGCCTTGGAGAGGGTAGCTCCTCTCTGTAGCTGCTCATCCCCATGTCTGCCCAGCTCTGGCTGAGCCTGAGGCATTTATGGGCCTCAGAGGGGAGGAAATACATGCTGATTGGTCCATGGGTGGCCATGGGCAGGCCTGGAAAAGGCACCATGAGTTCCCACTCTGATCCACAGGACTCGCAGCCCAGCCCCCAGCCTTCAAACCCTCCCTGGCCTGAAGGTGGTTGAAGGTGGTGCCTCATGGGGACCTACCCCCTTTTGCCCAGGAATCTCTGCCTCCTGCTGCCATTCATGGCACCCAGGCTGTTTGTGCCAAGGGGCACCTGCCGGCCAGAGCTGAGCTGCCCTTAGCCCTCCCTCAGCTTCCCTCCCATGCTTGTTGGTGCCCAAAGTCCAGAGGGGGCTGAGGTGGCAGGGGGCTGGTGTGTCAGCACTGCCCTGAGTGTGCCCACACCTGCTGAGCTGTGACAGCGCCCGGGCTCGGCCCTGACTTTGCTCCAAGATCAGCATGGGTGCCAACAGCAGGGAGAATCCAGGCAGCAGGAGCAGACACTTCCTGCAAGGGCAAGGATCTTCTTCCTGGGTCCCCAAGAGTGCAGGGCTGCCTGGGTCTGCAGCTACAGTTCGGGCAGCTGCAGCTGCTCCCCGGGGTGGGGGTGGGTCCTGCCTGCTTCATGGAACAGGATGCCCAGGTCACGCCTCCCTGCTGCAGCCAGTGTGATGGTAGTGACCACTTCAGAGGGCCTGTCACTGACATCCCTGGCTGAAATCTGAGAGACAGCGTCTCAGCTCTGCTGCCGTTTGTCCCAGGGAAAACTTTTCAGTGCTGCACACAACACAGATTTCCTTCTCTTCCACCCTGGCTGGAGCCCTCGGAGGCCAGTGCTTGGAGGCCATGGGTCCCCTCTGGACCTGTTTCCCAACTCCAAACTCACCAGGCACCTCCTGCGGGCGCTGGCACCAGAAGGAAGTGGCCCCAATCATGGAGCAGTGTGGTGGTGGTGAAGCTGCACAGATTCTGCTTTTCTATGCAATTCTTTCATTTTTCTTGGAGATTTTACTTATATTTTTTAAAACAACAAATTCTAGGGCTTGGGAAACTTAGTGTTTTAACTGATTTAACTAGGAAAGTACTGTGCACTAGAGATCAATACACTCCAGGTTGGATGCCGTCCTGACACCCTCCTTCAGGTAGGAATGTCAGCCTCTTTCAGGGGTGACAAGATGGGGTAAGACAAAACATCTAGAAAGAGGAGAAAAATGCGTATGTACATATGCACATGCCGTATGTAGCTGAATGCCTCAGGAATGTCGTGAAGCTACAAATCATCCCGTCAGCTTTGAACGCAGGTGTGAATGATGCAAAAATCCCAGGGACTCAATGGCTTTTAGCTCCTGCACAAATTAGTTCTTGGAGAGTGAAAATTGGCAGTGGCAGGAAATTGTAATGTGAATAATCAGAAAAAAATTGGTGGACTCTGACATGTGAACACCCCACAAACACTACTCCAAACATTGATTCCAGAAGCCCAATTTCACAGTGGGGCCACACAGAACACAGCCAGAGATGAGGCTGTGGTCAGAGGTGCTGGGCTGGGTCCGGTGCTGCAGCCCACACAGAGCTTGGGAATAAAAGCAGTGCCTCTGGCTGCTTCCAGGGGCCTCCGGGCCCTGCCTCATTTTCAGCACAGCCACCGTTAGGCACTTGTGAGACCAGCAACTGGGGACCGCTCTTACGTGTCTTGAGAAGGCTTTATCAAGAGCAGGGTCACGAGGGAGCAGGGCAGGGAAGAGGCAGCGCAGCTCGGAGCCCCCAGGCTCCTGACCTGGCTTGGTCTGGTGCTTTGACGGTACCCACTGAGCCCTGAGACCAGCGGCCTGGTCTCCAGTGCGTGTGTGGGGTGGGGCACAGAGGAGGCATCAGGGCAGTGTGCTAGGAGCTCCTCCTCAGCCGAGCGGTCCCTGCCACCAGGTCCTGTGAGCAACAGGCCATGGGGAAAGTGGCCACTGCCACTGGACTCAGCAGACAAGCGCCAGCTGAATTTTCTCATTGGAAAATTAAGAAAATGCTTCCCTAGCTCGGGAGTCCTGGGGAGTTAAACATACATTCTACAAGCCTGGCCCTCTCCTCTCCATGGCAGAGGGGGAATCTGTCTTGGGCACCCGAGCCCTGATGGCAAGCAGAGGACAACCCACGGGCTTCTTGGTGGAAGATGGTTTCAGCAGAATTCATTTCCCCCAAGGTCACCCTTTAAAGATGGCACTGAGTGGAGGACCCGGCTTCCAGGGCTTCCGAGAGCTCCTACTTCCTGATCGCATACTTGATTTTGTGTCAACATGTTGCTTTTGAAATTACCAGGTAAGTCTTTTTTTTTTTAAGAGACAGGGTCTTGCTCCATCACCCAAGCTCGAGTGCAGTGGCACAATATTGAATCACTGAAACCTCCACCTCCTGGGTTCAAGCAATTCTCCTGCCTCAGCCTCCCGAGTAGCTGGGACTACAGGCACACATCACCGCACATGGATAATTTTTAGTAGAGACAGGGTTTTGCCACGTTGGCCAGGGTGGTCTCAAACTCCTGACCTCAGGTGATCCACCTGCCTCGGCCTCCCAAAGTGCTGGGATTACAGGCATGAGCCACCACGCCTGGCCAGCAAAGTCACTGTGTTTGCAATATGGGGTCATTTGGAACTTCCGGGAAACGCCTGGAGCCATCCTAGGTGGGCCAAGGGACACTGCGGGCTGTGGAGGAGGGCGGACTCTGACTCCCGCATGGGGTGACAACCGCTCCTCATGCGGAGAGTTCATGTGTCTGGCGAACCTCTATTTTGTGCTTCTCTTACTTCTTACGAGTTGTTTTTAGAGCCAATGGGATGATGGTATCCAGTTCCCAAGTCCCCTAAAGGGCAGTTTCCTTGACGTACAAGGCCTGGGGAGGGCCTTCATGTTCTATGAAGGGAGGCAGGTGGCCTGGGGCCTCTCAAGGCCAACCCCAGGCTGGAGATGAAGACAGGGTGGGCCCACGCGCAATCAGCCCTGGCCTGTGCTCGTGGAACTGAAGGCTGCTCCCTCCTGTTCTCAAATGAAACATCATACCTCCCTGGGGAGGCAACACAGAGCAATGGCAGGAGCCACAGGATGAGAATTCATAACAGCCTCATGTTTCCATTAAGAATGGGTGTGCTCTTCAAAACCATAGTCTGAGAATTTACTGAGAGGCCAGGAAAACGTGGGAACTCATCTAGAGTCTTCCTTCACCTGGCTCTATAACAGAGTTAACTTAACTCTATAACAGAGTTAATTTAACCCACTGTGCACATTCCTTTTCTGAACC